CATATTTAAGTGATTCAAAAATGGCTTTGGATATTTGGTCTTTATAATATCGACTCCCCCATATCAATCTTTTCGCCTAGTGATAACAAAAAGTCCTCAGGAAACCGAATAAATCATTCAATTTTGTGGGTTCTACTTGATATAAAATATCAAATATGATTGGTCTTTTCTGATTAGTCTTTTATTATGCATGCAACAAAGCTAAATATAAGGCTAATGAGCAAAATTGTAAAACTAAGATGTCAAAGTTAATAAACTAACCTTATCGACAATTTTTGAATTTGAAATCGACATGACAAATTTGGTATTCGGATCTAGAAGCGAGGTAGCACTAAGTTCTAGCTTTACAACTTGGTCGAAGAAGAACATTAGATTAGATGTTTGTCTTTATCATGTACTGGATCATGATTTCTTCCTTTGAATGTTTTGTCTCTATGTTTTGAGTGTTTTGTCTTTCTTTTCTACGAGGGCTCTCTCCTCTTCTTATTTGAGTGCAAATTCGTTTGCATATACTACTACTGGCATTGGTTTCTTCTACCACGTTGTTTCCAAATGTATAGTCCTACCTAAAGATTCAAAAATTCCCAGATTTATCATCCACCTTGCTTTTGGGATGGGTTCTTGGTATTACTATTTGTTTGGAGCCGACAAATCTGATCAAATATGTGGTATGAGTTTGAGGACCCACTAAAGTATTTCATGTCTTCCCAGTGCCTCACAACAATGTGAGTCGCTTTGAATCTTCTATTTCATGTCTTTGAATCTTTTGTGTGTTTGATGATATACAAGACAAGTGGTTTTAGGAATCATGTAAACTACTTAGTACATATTGTCTATGCGCTTTGATGGTTTGTCTTATAATTTTGTATGTCTTGCAGTATTCAATGGTTGACACCAGCCATATCGCTGCCTTCTGTTCATGCATCATCCAAGGCAATTGGCATCTTTCGTGCTACTTGGTGTGCAATACGCATCAAGAGAATTTTGCTTTTCACGATTAGTTCTCCAACGGAGTGCGTGCTAGTGACTGATACCATGATGTCCATTGCCCTTCTTGCAGCTGCTTTGGCATCCATCGTGAACGTTTTTGGCACAGGTGACCAAACCATTATGACAGTTGGTGGGTTTGGAGTAGCTGCAAGTGTTTTTGCTTCCAAGAACATCCTTGGTAACATTCTTAGCGGTCTCTCCTTGCTGTTCCAAAAGCTTTTCTTTTTTTTTCTGGGAGATACAATGAATGTTTGTTTTCTTCGTAGAAACTACCTAGTCATTTGTAACAAAATCTGAGGAATATGTTTACACGCGAAGAACACCAATACTGTCTTTGGAACCAAAAAGGATCCTAGTTGAGACGCACATGAACAAATTCCAATCAAGCTTGGAGTTGTTTATCCTTCAAGCTCAATGTTCAGTGTTGAGGTATTCATCAAATGATCTAAGACAAATTCTCTCTTATAAAATGTTAGATATCAATGTTTATGTTTGGTCTTTTCTGGTTAGTCTTTTGTTATCCATTTCATACTCCACTCTGAGAAAAATCGATGAAATAACAAAAAGTTGTTTGATATTTTGAAGATAATGCACCGCAAAAGACTCTACTCTAATTGAAAAAGTTATCAGTAGGTGAATAGATTGATATGGACTCGATATTATAACTTTGTACAGTATGAGTCCTCATGAAACCGAATAAATAATTGAGTTTTGTGGGTTCTACTTCTAGTTTTGTTTGGTCTTTTCTGGTTAGTCTTTATTATTTATCCATTTTATACTCCACCCGAGAAAATTCCATGAAATAACAAAAAGTTGTTAGATGTCAAACCGGAAATTTCGCTTCACCTACCACCCGGTTTGACATCTTGTAAAGCAATTCCGGTCTGATTTCGTTTCCGTTCAACCAAACCAAAGGTTTTTATTTTGGTTAATTTTCTAAGTTTGAGGTACCCTATAAATACGCAACCTCACTTCTTCTCTCTCATTTCGAATCAACACACTGCCGGAGCTCCGACATGTCATCTTGCTCCGACGAAGCAATTCCGGGAAACCCAATCGTCGTACGTATCTTTGTTTCTCTTATATTCCCATGCTTCTGTTGAATTTAATGATTACTTATTATAGATTTTTCCTGCAATTGCAGCTTGGTTGTGGTCAACTCTGTCTGGATTACTTAGTCACTGTACCGTCTTTCCCAATTCCCGACCAAAAGATCCGAAGCACGAGCTTCAAGGTCGATTAAGATTTAGTAGTATGTTAAGCTGTTGCTTCGTTGACTTTGTCTGATTCGTAATTTTCCTTTACGATTTTCTTCTCTCTTTTCAGATTCAAGGAGGTGGAAATACTGGGAATGCTTTAACTTGCGTTGCTCGTTTGGGTTTGGGTTCTAGAATCTTAGCTAAAGTAATACAATAATCTTTGATACAGTTTCAAATTGTAGCCTCCTCTTTTTGGTTTCTTTGTGTTTTTTCACAGTGAATTTTTCGATATCGTTTTAGGTTGCTAATGATTCTCAAGGGCGTTGGATGCTAGAGGAGTTAGAATCTAGTGGTGTGGATACTTCCTTTTGTGTGGTAAGAAGATCATTAAACAGATTTTTGATACAATGTGTATGAATCCTTGTTAATACAAAAAAACAAAACCTTTCTTTTTTTTTTCTTTCTCAGATTGCTAAAGATGGAGCTTCACATTTTAATTACGTCATTGTAGATAACCAAACGTGGGTAAAATGTGTTCTTTTGTTATGTTGTGTGGTATATTCTGAAGTTTCCATTTTGCTGAGTATACAATGTGGTATATATAGAGAAAAGCTATCCTACGGTCGTTTGATACTATTCCTATAACAAATTTCTAGGAATACTCGTACGTGTATTTTTACACCAGGATATCCTCCTTTGCTCCCAGATGACCTTACTGAGTCTCTCCTTTTAGATGTGCTCAATGGCGTAAGAGTTCTATATGCAAATGGAAGGTCCCGTGAAGCCGAATTGCTTCTTGCGCAAAAGGTGAATACTCTGGTGATCAATTTAGTTCTGTTTATGTATGTAGTTACTGAAGCTTGTAGTGAGAGATTTGTTTTCGTTTGTAGGCAAATAGCAGGAATATTTCCATCTTAATTAATACAGAGAAAAGAAGGGAAGGGCTAAATGAGCTCCTTGACTTAGCTGACTATGCCGTTTGCTCTACTAACTTCCCCATGGTAAGACCGTTCCCGGAACATCTCTGTAAATTGCGGATGAATCGGTTTTTAGGTTGTGATGTTGAATATTAGACGAGCATATCAAAGGAAATTGGCATACCAAGCTCTGTTGTATTGATGATTTATCTGAAATCTATTGGTACTATAAATTTGTTTCTGTGGAAGAAAGTATGGATTCTATAAGTTATGAGAGGTAAAATGAACAAAGATGCGTTGTTAGTTTGTAACTAGTAACATATGTTGTTGCATCACTTTCATCACAGTTGTTGTCTTTAATCTTATAAAAATGTGACTTGTTTGATTGAGAAAACAGGATTGGACTGAGGCACCATCATCCCCTAGTGCACTTCTCTCCATGCTCAATAAATTACCAAAGCTGAAGTTTGTGATCATGACTTTGGGAGAACACGGTTGTATCATGCTTGAGAGATGTTCCAATGGTGAGTTCTTCAGTCTCGATTTTCCTATTTGCGATTACACAACTTCTCGTGTATAAAAACATTTTCTTGACACTGTAAACTGCAGAGGTTTCAGAGTCGGAAGAAGAAGAGAGAGACATAAATGAGCTACACGAGTCTCTGATGCAAACCACAGATTTTTCGAGTATCTTACCGGTCTGCAATTCATCGGTATATTACGTTTTGAGATATATATTTCTCATAGGTTACATTTTTCTTTTTCATAATGAGATATCTTGACTTCTCTTAACATTTTCAGCTTGTGAATAGACTGGGAGGGAATGTTACAGGGAGATTGGTTATAGTAACAGCTGAGAAAATACCTTCTTCAGAGCTTATGGACACAACCGGTGCCGGAGATGCCTTTACCGGAGCTTTGCTCTATGGTAACTGTATAAACCGTAGTAAACCAATTGTTAAGCCAAATTCATGTTCACCAAATCTGACCGACTACTTACTCACAGGTTTGTGCACAGATATGGCTTCAGAGGAAATGTTGCTATTTGCATCTCGAGTCGTAAGTTTGCTTCTTCCTTTTCTTTTTATTTTGTTCCTGACGCGATTTTTCAAACGCTAGCGTAAGGCGTTTCGATCTGAACTGTGAAAGATGCGCGTTTGCGTTTTGTAGGCCGCTTGCTGCTGCAGAGGTTTAGGGGCTCGAACCACTCTTCCATTCCGTAATGATCCAAACCTTGTAGCGTTCTTAGGGACACGACCGTAGGTTTTCTTTGTCTCTTTGACATCTGTAATTAGTCTCAAGGTCATAAACTGCGTCTATAATATCTGTATATATTTTTTTTAGCGTTAATCTGTGTATATATTAATATGAAAGTGAAATATAATAATTGTTCCAATAAATAAAACAAAATAACAAATTGTTGTTGTTCCTTAAAATTCCAAGCCAGATTCGCCTTTTAGCTGTGCTGAATGGATTAAAAATTGTACATGCAAAATATCTTTTACAACATAAATAATACAAAAGATATTATTGGTGTTCATGATATTTATGGATTCGAGAGTTTCACAAACAGGTGCTCAAGTGGTATGCTTGTTGTTTTCTTAATTAGTTTGAGGTGCTTCGTTAATAAAGTGGATCTTACTCTAATACTTCACCATAATATGTGTCTGATCAATTTCATAGTCAAGCTAGTGCTTGCTTCTAACATTGACATTTGAGATCTTTTACTGCCTATCAAATCATAAGCTTGCGAGGTTAGCCGACTAACTTTGTCTATATAATGCAACTGATGAAACTTGTCTATACAAGATACTTTCGTTGTTTGACTGATAAATAATTATCTATCTATAATAATCTTTTACATTATTTATAACGATAACGTTCACCCTTGAAAGCACACGTACAACATAAAAGTCCACAGTAACAACGATGATCCATTATCTGCTGTGAAAACACACCCTTGAAAACATAACCTAACAAGTAAAAGAACTGACGATAACACCGATGATCCATTATTGTGCACCATTAAAAGTTCAGTTTAAAGACATATAGAACCATGTGCACGAAATTAACAACCCCAACCGATGAAAAGTTGTTAACAGTCCAACGTAGCGATTTGATGGGGAAAAGAATTTGGTAGCATCCAGAAACATTCTCATGAAGATGTGAACCATTAAGCACATAGGCACATCCAGTAGAGCAATCAGGTACGTGAAGCATAAGCAGCAATAGACGATGAGGAACCACCTGCTGGTCGGCTTATTGTCTTCTCCTTGTAGGATCATCGAGCTTTTGTCATTAGTTGCCCTCGAGGTAATTGAGCTTTCGTCATTAGTTGCCCTGGAGGTAGTGGCGGGCTTTGTTGGTCTTGGAGACCA